TCATGAGAAGCCACTTTGAAGATATCAGTATGTAATACAACCACCATTGTTAATTCCCTACCACTTTGTTTGTAACTCTGTATTGTCTGTACTGTGCTTGTGATATGTTGTAAAATGTTGTATGTCTGTTAATGTTTCCCCCCTTTTATCTTTAAAATAAAAAAAAAGAAGTCTGAATTTAATTCCATCAGGAACTAATACATCTTAAGGCTTCTTGATTACTCGGGTATAGCAGCTAATATTTTAACTTTTCATACTTTGGTCCTTCATTGAAGAATGTGCTTATGGTAAACCATATTTAAAGTAATGATATTCCATCCTGTAGAGTTACTGTACAGTTTTATATTTTGCAGTTCACAAGTATATTAACACATAAATGTCAAAACTCTGCCTTGCTTTGAAAATGGACCAGAGAATCTATCTAAATAATTCATATCTCACTGCAATTATATGATTGGCAATCATATAATTGTAGATAATCATATAGTTGTCATATGTGAGATACACATATAGAATATAGTTTCAGAATATGAGAATAGTAAATATTAAATGTAAAACCCAACACTTTAATGCTTTTCCATTTATCTTTGCTTGGAGAGATTTTGTTTTTCTATGAAAGCATCATGGATTTTGTAAGTTCATGAAATAAGTATTAATTAGTGGCATATTTGCTAATATTTTCTACAGAAGTCCCACGGACATGTCTCTACCCGGTCTAAATTTTCTGAAATCCATGACAATATAGTAAGGGTAAGAGAGGCAGTGATGATGGTCGTTGGCATCTTTCGAGACAAATTATTCAAAAGTAAGTATTTCCTATAATGAGAGCAGCATCCTGGGAAAAGCCTGGTCTTTGAAAGCAGAGAGCCCCGGGGTTCACCCTGGGCTCCCCCATTTACATGGGCAAAATGTCCATGAGCAAAATACTTGATCTCATGAACTTGTTTCCATTCCTGTGAGATGCGAAGAGTAACACCTATCTTGTGATCACTATTCAGGGTATGTGTTTAAAGTATCAGCACATGCTGGGTACTCAAACACCAGTGACCATTACTGAGAGTGGACAGGAAGATCGCAAGGCTACGACACAAACAGGGAAAGCTGCTTGGCTCTGAGAAGCTCACAGAGCAGGAAATATAACCTCAATGAACTGACTTCCTTTGAGAGGTGAGGCTGAGCCAGAAACTGAATTCTTCCTGGGAACATATTCCTTTCAGGTGCCTGAAGTGATCATATCTTTCAATCAGGCACCCTGTTTTTTCTATCAAAATAATGCCATTTTGGGGGCTCAGAACAAAGAGGAGTAAAACCATGAGGGAAGTTTTGCCTGGGCTGAGGCCTGATGACTCTCCCAGCCCTGCCCACCTACCCTGACTCCACAATACAAAGAAACCCAGAGCTGGTGGCCCTCTCTCTCCAGGGGTACCAGATACACACTTCCACCTTTGGAGCCTCTGAGCTTCTTTATTGTTCAAGACTAACAATCCATCTTCATTCTGTCCACACAAACCTTTCCCAGAGAGAGGAAAAAGTAATGCATTGGTCTCTGCTTACTAAATTATAATCATTTCCAGTCCTCCCCGTCCCCAGACACAGCAAAATTACCTAAGTGACAGTGTGGGGTGGAGGCTTAGATAGCCAATTTCAGAAAGAACTTGATGTTTATGTTTCCAAGCCCTTGAAAGATCGTGGCTTCCTTATGTCAAATTAAGTCATTTTTATTATTTCTTCTGTTGACTGGTTGGCTGGCTGGCTGGACAGATGGATGGGTGGGCAGATGGACGGATGGACAGATGGATGGATGGATGGACGGACAGATGGAAGGATGGATGAATAGATGCACAGATGAAGAATGGATAAATGGAATAGACTGTTGTAACACTATGCTGGACGTCAGTAATGAATGAAGCCATGGTATCTTACTTGGCACCCAAAATGATGAGAATTGGGAGAATAAAGAACTTAGTTTTCCAATATATGTTCACGGACTAACTTTGGATTCAAGGAATACAAAAGCAGAGAACTACCATGAGCTTGAGGAGAGAGGCTGTCCAATCAAAGCCAGCCTCTCTTCTTCATTTAGTTCTCCTATTTAAAAGTTCACCTTTTAACCACTAATTTACTGAGGTATTAGTGCATGTTGGTCTCTCCCAGGAGCGAGCTGCCTGCACTGTGACGCAGACACCCTGCTCTGTCCAGAATGACCTTGAACAGTTCACTCAGGTTTATTACTGTTTTTATCCTCTTCCTGCCTTTAGGAAAAGGATGATAATTTTAGCCCCAGTCCTCCCTCAGGAATGTTGTCAGGAAGGAGTAGGAACATATGGGATATAGTGCAGGCTTCCACAAAGAAAGGTCTGAACACAGATTTATGTGATGAACAGAGATGGATGCTATTCTCAGTATCATGCTGCTTTTCTTCCTTTTAAACACACCTCTCCAGTTAAAGTTCATGGTAAACTGGTAAGAAAGCTAAGCAGATATAGGTCATGCTGCTCTTTGAAATCACGAAATAGCTTGCCCCCGATTCTCATTTTGAGCATTCATTTAGCACTCTCCTGTTCTCTAGACACAAATAGGAAACACAACTAAAGGTTCACCTTGTTTTTAAAAGTCCAAATTAACCCATACATAGAATTGCCCTGAGAGTCAGCACCACCTTCCTAAGCAGCCCTCTGAGCAAAGCAATTCTGTACACACAAGGTCACAGAAACTTGACTCAGGCACCAGACAGGTTTCCTAAAAAAGAAGCCCAGGAGCAGGCAAAGGCAAGCAGCAACTCCCAGCTGGCTACAGAAAGTGGTCACATTATTTTCTGAGCATGCAGAAAGCAACGTTCAACAACCAGTGGAGTCGTTGTGACAGTGACAGAGCTCTCTCCTGGGCTGTAATCAATTACAATGCTTAAGTGCATTATGTCTCAAAGAAAAAAAACACGGATAAAAGCGCTCTGTCCCTCTCTCTCTTTTTAATACGGTGCAGTAGAGACCCAACCAAGTGAAATCATTTAAAAGCCACCTCTGGCCAATTGCTGCTTCTAACAATTCCAAAATTGTTTAAGTAGAAATAAAATAAATGAATTATCTGAAATACACAGTGTCTTTTCAAAAAATCAGGTCACAGCTTTATCTTCCTTTTCTCCATGCCAAGAAAGATACTGATATTTTTAAAATGTTAAAAGTACATTATGTGAAACGTGTCTTGTGAAGCCTCTCAGCCAATGTACAGGAGAATCAGCTCTGGACTGTGTGGAGTATTCTCATCCAGTTTCTATATATAACCACATTCCACATGCACATACTACCCTGCACCCCATCCACATGCACACTGCAATCTCATGCTTGCAGAAATCAGAATGCTGTAACGATGCCCTGGATCTGAGAAATTCACAAGCAAAGCCCAGAGATGGTTCCCTGACTGAATGAAAAAGGCTGGTTCAGTCGGCACAGAGCCTTGGCGGCAGGGCAGGCTCTGCCCAGCTCTCTGGAGTGTGAGCTGCATGGCTAATAATGGCACAGGTTCGTGGGATCAGCCTCTTACCTTGGAGTGCTGCAGCAAGAGTACCTGCTCCTCAAGCTGCTGTCGTTTGCCTTCTATTTCCGTCTGCCTCTTTCTTTTTTCCTTGAAAATAAAGAGAGAGAGAAAGAGAGAGAGGCTGTCAGAGTGGGTGGGTGTTGGCTCCAGGAATGCGAAGGCAGGCAGCAGAAGCTGAAGCGGCACACATCTGTGCAGTCACTTCCAGAGACGCTGGGCACACTTGCAGTATCACCTGCCCCACCGTCGCTGGGCGTGTGGCAAGCAGCAGCAATCTCCTAACATGTCTGCAGTGGGCTTGGCCAGTGGGAGAAATGCTCCTCACTCAGCCAGGCTGCAACAATTTAATCCACAGGAAAAGATGGTTTACACACACACACACACACACACACACACACACACACACACATAGATACACTCACACACTCTCTCTCTCTTTCTCTCTTTCTCTTTCTCTCTCTCTCTCTCTCTCCTGTGCTTGCAGTGTTAATCTGAAGACAAAGAATAAATATGTCTCAATCCAGAAGGCAGGGTTAGGTTTCTTTGGTCAAAATCATATACATAAGTAATAAGATGTAATTGCAAATTGGGTGGGAGAAATCATCCAGTTGGGCATAACAGACAATGCAAATGAGAGGGATGGTCTTTGCTTAAAGGAGCCTTGGGAGAAGCATTTCATGTGGGCAGGGCTCACTGAGGTTATGGGAAATATGAAGTCTGGATCCAACTCCCAGCCCTACTACTTGCTACCTGTGTAACTTCTGGAAAGTCATTTTCCCTCCTTGGGTCTCAGTCTTCTGCATAAAGTAGAGATAACTCTATCCAAATCATATGACTTGATTGTGGATTAAATGAGACAATATACGCCCAGGGACTACAACAACACCTTGCACACAGTAAGCATTCAATCACTGTTATTTGCTGTTATTCTTACTGCCGCATGTTTACTTCTAGGGAATGCCTAGAAACTGGATTCAAAGAGATGTATTTTCCTGGCATTTTCCACTGTAATCTTTATATTTTTCTCCCCCACACTTCTCTAATGCAGACAATAAACATCATAGGAATGTGATTCATAAGAAGAGAAAGGCCTGCCTTTATGGCTGCTTGCTTTTAATGCTTTGTTTCCAAAGTATACAGGAGTATTTCATGGAGATATGTACAACACGGGATCATTTTCCTTTACTCACAGATACAGGGGAAATCTTGTCAGCCAAGACAGAATGGTTCTTTTTGTTTGTTTTTCCGGTACTGGAAATCGAACTCACAACCTCACACTTGCCAGGCAAGTGCTGTGCCACTGAGCTAAATCCCCAGTCCCTACAGAATGGTTCTTTACAACACAACAGCCAAATCCCGAGAAAGACAATGATACAGAAGCCTGGTTGCCATGCTGTGTGTTAATAGAAGCTTTGGTTTTCATGTAGTGCCACATTGCTAGGGATGTGATTGCACTACTGCTGTTTTAATCAGTGGAATGATCATTTGTATTATAATCAAAGTTTTTTATGCAATGCACAGACTTCAAGAAATATTAGCTCATAATATGAATCACTAGACTAAAATGCTTAAGTCAAATGAGACTCCTGAATATTTTAGGAACTACCATTTACCAAAGGACTCCAATCAGGGATGCATAATTGATGCTATTTAATCCCAGAGTATGCCAAGGACATGTGCTATATGATACAATATATAGGAAAAGTAAGGACCGATATGAAAAGCCCACCTGTCCAGCAGCTCAGGGGTACCACATGATAAGCCAAGACCTGAGGACAAGCAACTGCATGTCATAGGGATTCTCAGGAGAATTCATTCCCACTGAACACCATAGCATGCAGCTTTCCTGCATTTATTTTATAATTACTTTGTTAGTGCCTAATAATTTTACTAACCATTGGGTTTCAATGTATAAAATATATTTGGATTATATCCACCCTCCCTCACTATCTACATTTAAATCCAGAACAAGATATAATATGTCATGGATGCAAGATGCTGATGACTCAATACTCCCACAAATGTTCAATGAGTGCTTTGTGTTCTAACCACGTGTCGTCATTTCCAAAGCCTTTCTAGGCTTTCCCACCTCTGTGCCTTCATTCACACGGAAAGTTCCTATCATTGGTGAGCCATTCCCTGACTAGAAGAAACATTACCAGAAGGGCTGTGTAGTGGCCCATTCCATGCTGAAGCAGTAGAATTTCAGTGATCACTGTATAGTAATGAGGTGAAGAAGGATGTAAATTTCAAATTAGCCCTTTAAGAATAGCATAGATTAGGTAGGTACAGATTAATGGTAAATCATTCCAGGAAAAGGAAACTGTGAGAACAAGGATAGGAATGTACTGCATATCCCAAGAACACTAAGGGCAAACTAACTAGGATGATTCAAAAGACTTCTTAAGATTAGACTAGAACTGAAGGCCTTGAATGCCAGACTAAGAAGTTTGGATTTTATTGTGTGGACAATGCAGGATCATTGCAGGACTCTCAACAGAAATGATAAGGTGAAAGGAACACTAAGCTGGAACTCATATAAAGGAAGGATTAATAGGGACTGAGGCACTTTTTCTATAAAAAAAGTAAACATTTTAGACATCAGGAAACATTTTAGGTTTTGCGGGAAGTACAGTCTGTTGTGACTTCTCAATGCTGCCACTGTAACTCAAAAGCAGCCCCAGACAATATATAAATGGATGATGTGGCTGTGTTCTAACAAAGCTTTATTTACAAACATAAATGGAGGGCAGGATTGGCACATGGGTCATCGTTTCTTGCCTTCTAGATTAAAAGGAGCATTAAGCATCTTAGGAGGATGCTATGTTCACCTTGCACACCGCGGGAATGGATGATCTAACAAGCCCTCCCTAGCTGAGAGCTACACCAATCCACATGAAAGGAGAAGGACAAATGCAAGAACTAGAAAGGCTAACAGGACTTAGGGAGTGAGCAAAAGAGATGTTTTGGCTCTGAGCCCCACCGATGGAAAGAGTGCTGGTGTAGGAATGGGCAATGATGTGGAAGTGGTAAGGTGGTGCTCATTTATACTGTGTTCATATCTCCCCTAAGGAGCCAAACACATATTAATATACACAACTAGGCAGAGGTATTAGCATGTTCACATCTATGTTCTGATTGGGCAAGACCCTGAACTTTCCATCTACAGCTGTCGCAGTTTCTTTGTCTAGCTGGGTCCCCTTCCACAGTGATCAGGTTGAGACCTAGAGTCACTCCTAATTGGCTAAAAGATTAGATATACAGTCAGCCTTAGGTGTCAGGCACCAGTCAAATTACATCAAGCTAGAGTAAGTCACCATTAAGGAATATACTTTTGGACCTTGCCTACTTAGACTGCTGAGGTCTGACTGGTACTTCCCACCTGGCTAGCCTGCTCTTTCCATATTTCTCCTTCTCTTAATCAAGACAAAACCAGTAACTCATCAACTTCACTCTCATCAACTCCACAACGGTACTCCTTCCCCTCACTCCAGATCCAGGTACTGACCTGCCACCCCTTCAGGTCCACTCCCTCAACATCCCTACATTCACACAGGTCCCTTTTACTGTATTCTTCATCTGAGCAAATGGCACTACTCAAATCAGAGATCTAAGTCATCTTAAACACTCACTTTCCTGAAGGACAAAGCCCCATTGATCCTCCTTGTTATTTTCTACATATTTTGCTTCCCCATTAAAATCCTTCCTTACTCCCTAAAGATTTCCCCTTTATCTCCACACCTGCACATGTAGAATACTCTTCACTAGGATCCTGAACACTCCAAATAACTTAATTGCTTGTATCTGATTTCCATCTGGATTACTACAGTGGTTTCTTTACTGGTCTGCGGGTCTCTAAGCCTTGGTTTCTCCAACTCGGCCTCCGTATTGCTCATGGAGCATCACTTGAAGATGGAAATCTGGACACGTCCATCTCTTGCCTAAAACCTAGAATGTCGCCTCACTGCCTATCTGTCTCACAGCTTCTTCTCAAACCATGACCCTCAACCATATGTTCCAACCTCAACAACTACTTGAAGTTTCCTGACCTGGGAGACTGATTGATATCCTTCTGGTTTTACCCTTACTGCTTCCTCTAACAATAATGAATGTCTCTTACTGATTCATTTGACAAGAAACTATTCATCACTGACAGAGAGCTTAAATATCAGTGAAGCCAGAGTGATCACCTGTCAATTTTGATCCATCCAGTCTTCCTCCAGTTGTGGGACCTTACCTATACCCACTGTAAACCCCATGGGAATATCATTCATGATTAGTCACAGATATCTCAGCTCACCTTTGCTACTACAGCTTGCACATCAGTTAGCTTAAGCCCATCATGCTGCCTTAACTCTTTGCAAAAGTGAGTGATACAAAGGGTGGCTAAGAGACTCAAGTAGGACCAATAAGAGATATTTCTGGGAAGAGACACAGGAATATTAGAAGGGAACACCCTTTGCTTTTACTAGGGATAAACTGAGATGACATACATCTCATGGCAAGCTTCCCAAGCTACAAGGAAGGAATGCATCTACAGTATGTTAGAGAAAACGAGGTCAATCTGCAGGGAGAGGTAGGGTTGAAAAGCAGAGAAAACAAGATCCTGATTGGGGCCCAGATCTACTCATGTACGAAGTCAGAAAGATTCCTGGACTTCCTAAGTTATGCTAATAAATCTTTCTTTTGCTCCAGCTAGTTTGAGTAATGTTTGTGTCACTCAAAACTCAGAGAGTACTGACACATTCAGAAGCCTTTTCTGATCCTTTGTAAGGACCACCACTCCCTCCTTTGTCTTCCCTTTTCACAGGCTGTGGATTTTTCTACATTAGTACCTTGAGTACTTTATAGCTTTATCTGTTGATACATCTTCTCTTTCTACCAAAAAATGGGCTCGTGGAGGATAAGGCTGTTGCCTGATGCATCTCTAAAGTCTAGAGTACTGCATGATGAACACACATGGGAGTGCCTGCTGAGTGCTTCTGAATGAAAGAACTATCCCTTTGGTGTTCCCTGATTTTGTTTCTGTTTTTCCATGTATCGATATATTTCTCATTCAAATGCATTATAAATTTCCACTCATTATT